CGCTCCAGCCCAGAGCCTATTATATGACTAAATTATAATTTTAGCTTAAAATAATTTTCTGTAATTTTTCAAGTTAACTGAATAAGTAAGATTAATTTTTTTCCTGGTTGTAGAGAATTCTTATGTTTCCAAAATTAGAAAATAAAATATGTAACTTATTTATTAGGAAAATAATGTCATCGATTAGATTTGTTTCTTTTTTTGGCAAGTACATGATAAATTTTTAAAAAATCTTTATTTATATTGGGTTAGTATTATAATTTTCTTGTATAGAAGAAATATTTTCAAGTTGTTGTAAAACAGTATTATTCATGTACCCAACATATGCTGTACAATAGTAGGAACATGTGATAATGTGCTGGGATAATAAATATAAGTAAAATAAAATCCATTACTTTAGGTCATTGTGATTATTGCCAAGAAGATAGAAAAATCACAAAAAGTGGTATCACAAAAAGTGGTAATGACATGAGATGCATGCTAAAAATTGTGCTAAAACTATTCCTATAAATCTGTACAAAATTTGACAGGACTAATCCATTTTGACCACAGAAAATAGTTGAGGTATTCCAGAATAAAACCACCAGAATAACACCATAAAAGTAGTCAAGGAGGCAGAGGGGTAGCTTGGTTAAAGGCAGGGTTTAGAAACAATCTAATAATGATAAGAACTTAATGTTCTGGCCAAAGTATAGGTAGGGTATGTAGAGTTTATGGTTAAACTCACCATGGGGGCCCCAGGTGAAAATCATAAAAAACATGGGCAAACTGGTACAAGGAGTCACAGGAAGGAAAGAAGTTCAGCGGAGCCCATGTATGAGAAAAGGATGAGAAAAAGTAGCTTAGATTATACTTGTCAGGATGCATACATTTATGTCTACATAATTTATATCATGCATTCTTTGTGTAAAATAGTATATATATGTTTTATAATGTAAATATGAAAAATGAGAGCATTGTAAAATTAAATGTATATTTAAAATTATGAGTATGTTGATTGATAAACTGTGTAACTAAAACTGACCATGATTCACTTAAGGAAGTTAATCATATGTAAAGGCAGAGATGACTGGGCGACTGGTCTCTTAGAAGCCAGAGTCCCCAGGTTTCACTTCTATTCACATATCTGACCCTTGGAACTGAAGGTCAGGTATCTGCTAGTGCAGATCAAAGGGCAAAACTAACTGGTAAAGAACATAAAATACCTTTTCATCTGTGTTTGACTAAAGATTATTTTCCTCACTTGTGATCCTACTGGATCATATGATAGTTCCTATGTTCCATGTCATAGCCCTTTACTGGAGATTTGTAAATAGGAGGTTTGGGGGAGGATCTGAAGATAGGCTTTTTGTACAGTTTACCCAAGCAGTTTATCTTGTGCGATTTTGTGCCCTTGACGTTACTACCAACACTCTAGATTCCTCTAGTGTCACACCCGCCCCGTTGCCTGTGGAAGTGCCAACTACTTTGAGAAGCACTAATCTGAACTTTCATACTGTGAGATTCCCATTCTCTTTGAGGTACTACTGTGTAGGTTAACAATTCTTCGCCTGGTTCATTGATGACTGCCTAGGGATTGCCACGTTGGCTTGCATGGGAAAATTAGAATTAGCCCATTTATATATTTGCCTTTCTATGAAGGCAAAAGGCTGCAGAATTTGAGATAATTTTCCTAATACAACAATGAATTGCTAGTGTGCTCCCTGGTATAGGCTTTTACTATTTTAGAATCTATTGTTTTGGCAAAGCAGTCTGTGTAGATTGCTATTCAGGAGTGTAACATGACCAACAGGTGAAGATTTGGACATTAATTCAGCTTTAGTAGAAAAGAACAATCAAAGGTAAAATTGATCAAAATTTACTGAAGAAGGATATATTTTATCACATATCATAAAAAATAAATACCCCCCCTCAATAAATCATTCTCTAACTCTTGAAGATTGAATCTCAATCTAAACGAGTTAGACAATGATTGAAAGCTGTTACAAAGCTAGAATAAAGAATGAAGAATAAAGAATAATGTGCCAGTTCTCAACAAACTCAGGGTTTTGTTTTAATTTTTGGAACAAATTATAAATTTTATCACTTGATCACTTGACATCCCAGTACTCATAGATTTGCTCCAGCGTGTGCCAGTAACATCTCCTTTTGTCCCTGTCATGTGCTCGTGTAGCCCAATGGCGTCTGTTTGCTCCAGGAACATGAAGGGCCTCAAACTGATTATTCCGGGTCTTGATGAAGAAGTCTGACCATCTCATAAGTGGGCAGCCATGCAGTCTTTTGATGTCCCATGGAATCTGGTTGGTAATGGCTCTAGTCCAGTGGTCATCTCTGAATTGCATTAAATGTCCAGCCCATCTGATTTTCGATGCCTTGGCAAACGAGACAGCATCCCTGATTCTCTATCGTCAAAGGAGGTCAAAACTCCAGGTTCTTTCTCTCACTTGAGTGAAGCGGGATACTCCAAGCATAGCTCTTTCGATTCCTCTTTGGGAGACCCAAATAGCGTTCTCATCCTGTTTTCACAGAGTCCAGGTCTCTGAGGTGTATGTTAATGCAGGAAGAACAGTGGAATAGAAGAAATGTGCCCAGAGTCGGAGGTTCTTCATCCTCTTAGCTATTTCTTTGAACTCTTGAAGGTGATCCAAGCTGCTTTCTTCCTCCTGTGCAACTCAGGTTCCATGCCATTCGTCATGTTGAGTTCTTGACCTAGGAACACATAACTGTGGGTTTTGTGCCCACATAACTGTTGCATTCGGAGATGTTCATTCCGTTGAGAGCAAATGGAACATCAGGAACGAGTCCTTTTAACATAAACATTGTCTTTGTGAGATTCAGCTGTAGTCCGACTTTTCCACACTCACAGTTGAAGTCGGCCAGCATTTGTGCTGCTTGGCTAATGTTTGGTGTTATTAGAACAATGTCATCAGTGAAGCGGAGGTGGTGTAATTGCCGACTGTCTATCGTCACTCCCATTTCTTCCCATTCCAGTCATCACATGACGTTCTTGAGGGTGGCACTGAAGAGTTTCATTGAAATGGTATCAACCTGCCAAACCCCTCTCTTGACATTGATGGTGACTTCCTTGTAGAATGGTGAGATCCTGGTAGTGAATCTATAATACAGCTCACGGAGGATCCTGATGTATTAAGTTTGAACACCCTGTTGGCTAGGGCTTCAATGACCACTTCAGTCTCAACAGAATCAAAGGTCTTCTTTAAATCAATGAACGTTAGACAGAAAAGGGAAGAACAGCAGTGCTGGCTGATGCAGCAGAAACTGGGAAAAGCATTCACAATGCCTGCCTGTCCTTCGCCAACTACAAGACCAAGATGATTGCCCTCCGACATCCTGATGGATCAATCACATCTTTCAGAAGGGCAATGGAGAAGATTATTCATGACTTCTACTCAGATCTCTTCAATAGCCATGTATTCAATAGCCCACATACCAAATTCTGCAGGATGGATATGTCATTCCCAATATTCTCTCTTCCAAAATCCAACACACCATTTCGTCGGTAAAGAAGTGAACAGCACCTGGCCCAGACAAGGTCAGATCCGAATACCTGAAGAACCTACTGTCAGTACTCATGAATATACTGGCTTGGGTCTTCACACACTATCTGTCTGAATGCAAGGTTCTGTCCCAGTGGAAAACCAGCAGGACTGTACTACTGTACAAGAAGGGAGACATCCACAACTTTAACAACCATCGCCCGATCTGCCTGTTGTCTGTCGTCTACAAGCTGTTCACTCGAGTCATCCTGAATAAGATTGGCAGAACACTAGATGAAGGACAACCATGTGAGCAAGCCAGGTTCTGAAAAGGATACCACAAGACCAACCATGTCCACACTGTAACCATGCTTATTGAGGTTTCTCCGGAGTTCAAGATGCCGCTCTGCACTGTTCACAATAGCCAAAATCTGGAAACAACCCAAGTGCCCTAGAACAGATGACTGGTTAAAGAAACTTTGGTACATCTACACAGTAGAATACTATGCAGCTGACAGGAGAGATTAAGTCATGAACTTTGCTTATAAATGGATAGACATGGAGAGTATTGTGCTAAGTGAAATGAGTCAGAAAGAGAGGTAGAGACATAGAAGGACTGCACTCATTTGTGGAGTATAAAACAACATAACATGAGGTTGACACCTAAGGATAGTAGATACACGGGAGGACAGATACAGTGTTCCATAGCTGGAAGTCTGCCTTATGAGCAAAGGGGAGAAGGCAGCTGGAATAGAGAAGGGATCACTAAGAAAATGATAGCTGGAGGAATCGGTCGGGATGGGAGATGTGTGCAGAAAGTAGATAAAGGACCAAACATGATAACCTCTCAGTGTCTGTATTGCAAACCATAATGCCCAAAAGTAGAGAGAGATTATGGGGAATAATATCTGCCATGGAGGCAGAGGGAGAGTGGGAAAGGGGGTATACCGGAGATATTGGTGTTGGGGAATGTGCACTGGTGGAGGGATGATTATTTGATCATTGTGTTATTGTAACCCAAAAATGAAAGCTTGTAACTATCTCACAGTGATTCAATAAAATTAAAAAATAAAAATTAAAAATTAAAAAAGATAAATAAAGATGTTGCTCTGTCTAACATTCATAAATTTTATAATTACAACAAATTGTAAATATGCTGTGTGGCTCCTGGTGGTTGATTTATTTTTACAAGAAAAAAAAAACTCTGACATCAGTAATGGCATTCTTTAATCCATGCAATATTTCTAGTAGGGTTTTCACTTCATTCTGCTGGAACTTGGAGTTGCTGAAACACCAACCTTAGCAAATTTAAAATACATTTATCCTTAGGTGTGCCCTCAATTCTTATTTCTATGATATTTAAAAAATGGTAAGTCAATCATTTTTTTTTGACTCATGGGGGGAGATTGTCTTCTTAGGACATTAGGAGCAGGCTATGGAAAACTGGATGACTTCCACTATGTGTCATATCTAATTCATCATTGCTGCCTGTCTTGCCTGTAGCTGGGATGACAGCAGTTCTGTGAGCAGTGGTCTCAGTGACACCCTCGATAACATCAGCACCGATGACTTGAACACCACATCCTCGGTCAGCTCCTACTCCAACATCACCGTCCCTTCCAGGAAGAACACTCAGGTAAGGGAGAATTGCCTCCTTTCACATCAAGCCCTTCTGCCTGTTTCATTCCCCAAATTTTACAGTACATTTAAATATAGTCTAACCTCTTAGTTTGCAATATCACATAAATAAAAATCACCTGTGTGTATGTATTTTTCTATTGATTGAAATCATATGTAGAAAGACATAGTGCCATAGCTCTTTATGTAAGATCCATTTTACTGATTTTACATCTAAAATTGTTTTAAAAATATAAAAAAGGGCCAATTTCGTATGGTTCTTGATTATTTTATATTGTTCTCAGAGAAACTTTCGGATGTCTTAAGAATAGTAAATTAAGATGGAGTTTTATCTAATAGATGTTAAATAATTAAATCTCATCTTGTCTTACTTTTCCTCATCAGATGACATAGAAAAGTTCGTCCTCTCTGGAGTGTTTAATTAGGGTTCCTGCACGTATTTATTCTGACATTCTCTAATATGCACAAGTAAGAATTATGTGACTAAAATTAATGAAACTTAAATGAAGACAAAGCTAAAAATAGAAGCCTTTCAGATTCTTTTGAAGTATAAATTAGTGCTGCTTTGGGTGAGGGGGGGGTTGGTCTCTGAAAGTATCTTCTAGTGCCTAATTCACACTTAATAGATATTTTTCCTTGATATTTTCATCATAGCTGAAGACAGATTCAGAAAAGCATTCTGCAACAGACGATATGTGGGACAGCACTGAGGAGATGAAAAAGACAGAAGAAGACTTGGACAGCCATGGAGAAGGTGGTGGCAAGTGGAAAGGTGTTCCATCGGGAGCTCCTGAAGACCCGGAGAAGGCAGGCCAGAAAGCCACCCTGTCTGTTTCACAGACAGGTTCCTGGAGAAGAGGCATGTCTGCTCAGGGAGGAGCTCCAGCTAGACAGAAAGCTGGAACAAGTGCGCTCAAGACCCCTGGTAGGCTTGTTCTTTAACAGCTGTTGTGCAGAGGGTTATATGTACTATCTTTTTTACTCATTCCTTTTTAAGAGCTTTTAAGAAATTAAGTCAGAATTGGTTCCATATTTTCAGATAATTTTTCAGTCTAATTTTTATGTCCTTTATGGGCAGGAGAGATAGTATCGGGGGGAGGCACTTTCCTTGCACACAGACTACCTGAGCTCTATCCCCAGCACTATATACGATTCTCAAATAATGCCAGGAGTGATATCTGAGCACTGAGCCAGGAGTAAACTGTAAACACAGCTGGGCATGGCCTCAAAACAGCAACAAAATAAGCAGTGTGCCTTTTTATAGAGAGTTTCTTCCTTTTTCTTTCTTTCTGGCTTGAAGTGGAGGTCTGAACACACCCTTTGATGTTTGGGGACATTCCAAGCATGAGTGCTTTCTGGACCATGCGGTGTTGGGGATTGGACCCAGGGCTACTGCAGGCAAAATATGCCCTCCAGAATTTTGATCAGTGCCTAGAACACTGTTTTTCAACTCCCAGTTTACACAGAATTGCTAGTCTGCAGAAATTTCTTGCCAGCCTGTGAAAGAGCTATGGTGGCTTCTCCATAGTCCATATGTTTCATATATTCGGTCTCTATGGACTTCCATCATAACTGGGAATTTGGTGTGTTTATTTTGCAGCACTCATTTCAGATGATGTGAAAATAAGATGCCTAAAAAAGTTGATTGCTTCCAATCTGACTTTCTTATGAAAGTTGGGGATCTTTAAAATACAGCACGGAGTTGCAATGCTGGAGCTCTGAAGAACCATTTGTGTACTAAACTTTATAAAAGGAAAAAAGTGAAAGAATTCTTCCCGAACACACATATTTTTTAAGACTCCCCATTTTTTTAAGTAGTGCCTAATTTTAAGTAGTGCCACCTGAAGTACTGATGTTACAGCACTCCAAATATAATCATCTTGCAGAGGGCCTAATGAATAATTTTCCAGCCACTTAGCTTGATAGGATGAAGTGCTGTCCTTAAAGAGAGTTGCAAGCTATAAATAAGAATAAGGAACGAAAATACCTGGCTTGTTTTCACTTCTGTCTCTCAGCCCTATTTTTATAGCTTTATGCCCAGTTCTCTCAACATATTAGAGAATATACCTACTTGGATGAATAAGTAATAACTATTTGGGATGGGAAGTCACTTAAAGCTGCTTTCACATCCTACACAATGTTTTTAAAAATGTAATTATGGGACCTAAATAGATAGACACAATATTTGTATATTTCTCATTAATTAGGAAAAACTGATGATGCCAAAGCTTCCGAGAAAGGGAAAACTCCCCTTAAAGGATCATCTCTGCAAAGGTCTCCTTCAGATGCAGGAAAAAGCAGTGGTGATGAAGGGAAAAAGCCCCCCTCGGGCATTGGGAGATCAACCGCCACTGGTTCTTTTGGATTTAAGAAACCAAGTGGTGTAGGTTCATCCACCATGATCACCAGCAGTGGAGCAACTATAACCAGTGGCTCAGCTACGCTGGGTAAAATCCCCAAATCTGCTGCCATTGGCGGGAAATCAAATGCTGGGAGGAAAACCAGTTTGGATGGGTCCCAGAATCAGGATGATGTGGTGCTGCACGTTAGCTCCAAGACCTCCCTCCAATACCGCAGTTTGCCTCGCCCTTCGAAATCCAGCACCAGCGGCATCCCCGGCCGCGGAGGCCACCGGTCCAGTACCAGCAGTATTGATTCCAATGTCAGCAGCAAGTCCGCCGGGGCCACCACCTCAAAACTGAGAGAACCCACTAAGATTGGGTCAGGGCGCTCAAGCCCTGTCACGGTCAACCAAACAGACAAGGAAAAAGAAAAAGTAGCCGTCTCAGATTCCGAGAGTGTTTCTTTGTCAGGTTCCCCCAAATCCAGCCCCACCTCTGCCAGTGCCTGTGGGACTCAAGGGCTCAGGCAACCAGGGTCTAAATATCCTGACATTGCCTCACCTACATTTCGAAGGTAAGGATGCCGTCAAATGATGCTGGGACAAGAGCAAGTGCTGTATCTTGGCATAGATGTGCCCTATAGCCTAGTCTATGGGTAATATATTTGAGTAGGTAATATGTGTGTGCACATGTTCTCTTTGTATATATTCTAAGTTACATCTATTGTAGAATTTTTAAAATTTAATTCCTTAGTACTGTGAGGCCTAAAAGCTGGTCATATAAATAGAAAGAGAGGGAGAAAAAAAGCAAAACAAAATACAGTGCTCTTTTTGTGGAAGTTGGCAGTTTCACTATCATTATAATATTAGCAACACAAACATTCCCTAAGAGATTTGAAGGCAGATGGCAATACCTAGGGATAATGATAAAACAAAGTAACAGCTTGTAAGAGTCTTGTGGATTTCCACTCCTCCTTTAGCCAATAGGATAAAGAAAGAAAAAGGAAATCTTTATGGCTCTTAGTATTCCAGTGTTTATTTTCTTTCTGGCTCTAAATGAGTCAATGCTTTTGAATGTCAGTGAAACTGCTTCTTTTAACAATTCATTAAACAGGTTTGCACTGTACCAAATCTTGAGTTATTAATGGATATCCAAGTATGGTATGATGACCAGAATTGAAAACATTGAGATGTTTGGTACAGGATAACAAATACAGATAGAGTTTGCTTAGCTCTTTATTAAATTCCTTTGGATAAAGACTTACTTTCTGTGCTGGGACACTCTTTGGTAGAGAAGGCGTGGATATCCACTCTCAGATATTTGTAAAACCAGCATGTTTTAAGTGACAAGAAAATACAAAGTTAAAGACTTAGAGCAAATATAAGTCATATTCCTCAGTTCTGAGATGCTAGATTGCAGTCTATATTCCGTATGCTAAGAATTCTTAATGTTTGTTTCTATTTTACTGACCAGACCAAGAACCTTGATATATGGGGGAGTAAAGGGTCTTGAAAAAGTTAATTTTTACATTTCAAGAAATCTCAGATGCTTGACTGCTTGAAAACTGTATAGGTTGCTTTCCTCAGAAGAAATATTAATACTGCAGTGCTTGCTTTTAAAGTATTGATTCTTATTGGAAAGAATAAGCTATGATTTGTGCAGCAAGAGTAAATATTTCTGTTCCTTAAGCAAAGGCTAATAGTGCCCTCCAGTGGCCCATTACCTATGAAACAATTTCTCATATTCGTAGTATATTTTTACAATAGGAAATATGAATTTCATTGCACCTTAATTAGTAATCATTATGCCATTACTTCATATCACTTTATCTCCATATTTACATAAATTTTATTATATCATCTGCCTCATTTACAAAACTAAAATGTTTTCTGAACAAAACTCCAACATGTAACTTAGCTCCCACTATATTTCAGATCCCATCATGAATATGTATTGGAAGAACGCTGGCAACAAACATAAAACCCTTCTGTCTTTCTTGAGAAAAATATACACAGAGAAAATGCCATGTTGCCAACAATGTCCAATATTGTTTTTAGCCATCTATTCTCTGACAGTGCCATGGGGCACTCAGACTACTAGCTAGTCACTTCGTCTCTAAAACTGTGCCTGAAGCATTCCTTTTAGATTTTTGAATAAACTCTTAAAATAAGACAAAAGTTGAACTGTTACATATCGAATGCGTAGAAGTTGTTTCATTATAATGGTTCTATAAATAGGTAATAGTAAATATAGTCAAATAATTTGATGAATGGGAAAGAACCTCCTGCTCCCTTCAGCTGCCAATGCCAGGGATTTTTAACGCTCAATGTAGTTTTTGCTTTGCCGTTTCCTCTTCCTCCACTGGGTGGTAGATCCTTATGGGGATATGAGAGATTTTTTTAGCAATCGATTGAAACGATCAAGTTTATTCAAGTTCATTAACATAGAGACAAGCAAGTGCTTGGTAATTCAGGTCACCAAAGCATACTTGGCTCTATGTAGTGTAACCCTAATTATTAAATGTGGCTATAGTTTCTTGGAACAACTGAAGTTGTTATTTGTTTTTCTTTTAGGTTGTTTGGTGCCAAGGCAGGTGGCAAATCTGCCTCTGCACCTAATACGGAGGGTGTGAAATCCTCCTCAGTAATGCCCAGTCCTAGTACCACATTAGCGCGGCAAGGCAGTCTGGAGTCACCATCGTCTGGTACGGGCAGCCTGGGCAGTGCTGGTGGGCTCAGTGGCAGCAGCAGCCCTCTCTTCAATAAACCCTCAGACTTGACTACAGACGTTATAAGCCTAAGTCACTCATTGGCTTCCAGTCCAGCATCGGTTCACTCTTTCACCTCAGGTGGTCTCGTGTGGGCTGCCAATCTGAGCAGTTCCTCTGCAGGCAGCAAGGACACTCCGAGTTACCAGTCCATGACTAGCCTCCATACGAGCTCTGAGTCCATTGACCTCCCCCTCAGCCACCATGGCTCCCTGTCGGGACTGACCACAGGCACTCACGAGGTTCAGAGCCTGCTCATGAGAACGGGTAGTGTGAGATCTACTCTCTCAGAAAGGTGAGCTTTCCTGGAGGTATCCATGAAGTCCGCAAATCCTTCTCCTATCTCCCTTCCTCATTAAATTCCCTGGATTTCAGTGGAGTGCCTCTGTGCTGAGATGGAAAGGATCTTAGATTCAATTGTGACTGGGCCTTTTATTCACTCCTGTTATCAAGTTTACAGAAGAAAATACGTTAAAGATAGGATAACCAAATATGCTTCTCAGTATGAGTGCACTAGATATGCCCAGTAGGCAATTGAAATAAAATTCAAAGCATGTATTTATATGTTGAATGATGTCCTCTTAAGAGATTTGAATGATTTGGCTATAGCTCTAGGACAACATAGCTCCCAGTGATGATTGAAGCATTTTAAAAAGACATTTTTAAAAAATCATTTTTAAAATGGATTTTATAGTTTGAGCAGTGCATTAAGTTTGTTTTATTAGCAGTTCTTAAGAAAAACAACAAATGGATGACTGGGGAATCCTAGTTAAACTGGAGAAAAAATATATCAAATATAAATTCTTAGAGAATACCACAAACAGCTGATGTGATTTTTAATGGATCCCTTGAATATAAATAGAATTTACAAAGTGTTTCTCACTGGTTTGATGCATTTTTTAAAAGAACTTAAAATGAAGAACATTTCTTACTTAATATATTTATCAGAATGCAACACTATTGGCCATAGTAGTAGCTCTCTCATCCAATCCAGATCCTTTCTCAGATATTTTGATACTTATACTTCCTATCAAGAAACTGTCTTTAAACTGCTAGTTGGCCCTGATAAAATTAATGTTGTTTGTGTCATAACATTTATAAATCGTTCAAAGATAGTTCTGACTGCATATCTTAATGTGTTATTTGTGGAAACACTAATGGTCACCAAAAATGTTTGTGATCTTTAACTTTTCCTATCTCACAAGTAATCCTGGATTTATCATAATTAAGTCATTAGTAGAATGTTCGCTACATAAAGAAAATGAAAGAGAAAAATCTGAAAAGAAGGGTGTTAAGTATAAATAACATAAATCAGAACTAATAATGGTATATGGAGCCCTTGACTAACCTGTTTGCCTATAATTTTAAAACTGTATTGATATTCATATCCCAGTTTATTAAATCAGTAGTTTTTCATATTAAATTTATATTTATAAAATTTTATAAATTCATTACTCTTTAATAAATTACTCTTTATTAAAATAGAAAGCAATTAAATGTGATCAATATAAAATAAATTTTAAAAAACTTTCCCTCTTACTGCCCAAGATTACTTCTGACCCCTGGGCCATAACCAGTCCATGTTTGTTTTGTTTTGTTTGTTCTGTTTCTTGTGACTTAATGATACTAAAAATAATATAAGGCAATAACTAAATCTTAAAATATCTGATTTGTCTTTAAAACTCTGATTGGGCAACTCTGCATCCATCTTTCTACATAGCAGCTATTGGCTCCCCTGGAGAGCCCTTTCAGTTTCAGACCTTTGGCACAAATCCCTGCTTTCATTCATTCTCTGGAGAGACAAACCCTCACAGGGTTTGCATCTGTGACTTTTCTGGGTTTGCAGAAATTATGTACAGTATAAAAATCCTAACTACCCAGATTCAAGTACATATTTCTAATTAAAGTTTTAATAGAAACATTTAAATATACTGCTTTTGGTATATAAATTCAATACAGCATATAAATAATACTTTTAAATATATGTGTATTTATATATGTAAAAGATCATATTGGTAAAACAATGCCTTTGTACTTTGTATTGTTAAACTTTAGTTTGTACATATGAAATATATCCTCTTTTATATATTCTCTTCCCCTCTTTATGATGCCCAGATTGAACCCATGAACACACATATGCAAAACAAGCATTCTGTTGCTGAGCAAAATCCCTGGCCAAGAGATGACCGTACTAATGACTTAGCACAATGTAGTTCATATTTAGAGCTTTATGATATTCATTCAATATAATTGCTTTTTTGCTTATTCACTCTACTACAAAAGTGTCTATAAATCAAGATACATATTAGAATTGATCTCTATATGATACTTAGCTTATGTGTCCATTCCCTCTAAATAAAATTAATGTTGTAAAATGTTTTGGGATGCTTTCTACTATAGGTTTAAATAATGGAGTATACCTAAAAGAAAACATTTTAATTTTGATTTTGAGTATGAAATTTCAAGTCCATGTGTTTGCATTCATTCATGTCTTATCATCTCCATTATGTCCATTATGCATTCCTATGTATTTGCTTTTGATTATTTGGTGTTGTATGAAAATAGTTTTAATTCTACAGATCAAAAATCCAAATTTATTTTTTGATTATCCACATAACAGAGATGTTAACAGAAATCCCCACATTGTCCCACTCTTTTGTTGACACCACTTACTCTCCTTTGGGAAAGGCCATTTCTTATTTTTTCTAGGTGTACTATCCTCTCATCTCTTTCTGTAACCAAGTGATAGTTCTTAAAAATGAAAACTAATAAAAATTAGAACCTTTTAAATATCTAGTTTATAATTCCCCAAGGAGTACAGAGTTTTATTATTAAAATATTTAAATGATGCCAGAAATATTATATTTAAGGTAGTATTTATTAAATATGTAAATATATTTTCTTCTCCTACAAAAAGTGAGAATAGATCTATCTACCTTTATTTTTGTAAAATTAGTTTGAAAACACAAATAATTAGAAGGCCTTTGTTTCTCTCTAACCATTGAAACTTTTCACTTTGACCTAACAGAACAAACCTATGTCATTTCCCCTTTGATGATTCTCATACATGTGAAATCATAGCTGAAATCTGTCACTTGCATCAGGAGGCAAGATCTACCATAATATTAAGTAAATAAAATCTAGAGGGGCCCTATACTCACCCATGCTAGAAGGACCATATGCTTACCCATGATTAAGCTTTCTTCTAATAATTCTGTCATTAATGGTGGAAGTCTGTCAAATAATCATTGACATTGAACATGTTACAACGATCAACATCTGGTCTCCTTTTGTTGACCTTTTCAGTGAATTTAACACTAAATATGTGAATTCTTTTTTGTGATTGAAAAATGGAAACGTTTTTGTTGGTTGTGTAATTTGGAAGTTTTGTTTACTTTATGTCCTTAGGGGTTTTCTTTGTTTTAACAGCATGCAGCTTGACAGAAATACACTACCCAAAAAGGGACTAAGGTACATATTTCTCCTCAGCACAATTGCTGCCTTCTCTGTTGTTATGTATATTTTGTGTGCTGTCTCCTCTGCTTTTTTTGTTTGTTTGCAATTTTAGCTGAACTTGAGGCTGATACAACCTTTTAAACTTGGCATTCTCTCTGTTCTGAAGAATTGGTGAGATAGCTCTCAGGTAGAGATGTCCATAGAAGTCCCGATTGAAGAAACTCAATTCAGTGTTTATGCTGTTGACAGTGAGAAGGGCAGCAACTTCTGTTGGAATGCAGAACTCCCTTTTGAAAGTTAAAGTAAAATTAACTTTTCTAGCTTTTGCACCTCAGAGGTAGATGCTTGCAAAACCACAGAACCTCAAAAGACTAAGGATGAGTCCATTTATTGTTGAAAGATTGGAGAATACTTTAATTTAAATGAAAGAAATATATTTCGTCAATAGATGACCAATGCTGACAATAAGGTATGAATTTTTAATGAATCATTTTTGATGAAGGCTCAAAGGAGTTTTGATTTCTATTTTTCAGGAGTACTGGTATTTATCAGACTATTTAATATGAACTAAAGTATTATGTGATACACAAATGATTATTCAATTATCACTATCACGAAAACCAAAATGAAACATCATTCCATGATCATCCTTCAGAGTACAGTTTATCTGAAGAGACTGATGAACTACTAGTAAAGCTATAACACTATATTAATCAGATAAGATCATGTTTGGTGCTACAAATTTACTTACTTCGGTGAAAATGAGTACTGGGCAAATAAGTTTTTCTAATATTCTTTTTCTCCCCAATTCCTTAGTGATAGTGTTTGGCTTAAAACTAAATGTTTTTTTAAGATTATTGTTTCAGAAATTTATTTTCCTGTCACATAGGCTCATTTTCCCTTTTTTGAAAAATAAATTAAAATCTAGGCATGCTATCACTTGACATTTTAACCAAATATTTTTCCTTAAAAAATTTTAAAAAAGAGAGCTGTCAACTTGTGTTCTATTTCCTATGCCTTTCTGTGACCATGACTCCAATTCCCTTGGCTTCCGGCCCATCACTGTCTATCATTTTTAAGTCTGTTTCCACCCCTCATCACTCCACGTCCTTCCAAACTTTGTGCTTTTGAGCCCGTCTCAATTAACTTGGCTGTCTGCTCATGGCTTATGATTTTCAACTACATATCTCACAGAAGCATAATTTTCTCCTGAAATCCTTTATATTTTTTCCCCTGTGAGATGCAAACAGATGGTGGCAAATCATCTGGAAGAACTATGCAATTATAATTAGATTTTATCTTTTTTAGAATGTTGTTTAGTCTGAATAGCAAGCTTCTCTCAATTGTTTTCTTGTCCTGGCATTGCCTGGCCCCTGTAGATGTGCTGAAGTGTCTTAGCTGTGCTATTTTGCAGATATACCCCATCATCTCGGCAGGCCAACCAGGAAGAGGGCAAAGAGTGGCTGCGGTCCCATTCCACTGGAGGGCTGCAGGACACGGGCAGCCAATCTCCGCTGGTGTCTCCTTCTGCAATGTCATCATCTGTAACAGGAAAATACCATTTTTCTAACTTAGGTAACCTTCTTTGAAAAATGATTCTAATGTTTAAAGACTTAATTTACAAAGTTATTCATAGTTGAGTTTTGGACATATACTGTTCTGGTTCTGATCCCACTACCATGGTCCACTGCCCTCCACCAGTATTCTCAGGTTCCCGCTCCTAGGCCTAAACCCCCAGTCTGCCATTTTGACAGGAACCTTTTTAAGTTTTGTTGTTAAAGTTTGGGACTCATGATTTCAGTATTGTTGACTCTGTGATTTGGGTGTTTAGTTTTTTTTTTTTTTTGGCTTTTTGGGTCACACCTCGTGATGCGCAGAAGTGACTCCTGGCTTTACACTCAGGAAGAATTACTCCTGGCGGTGCTCAGGGGACAATATAGGATGCTTGGAATCAAACCCAGGTTGGCCGCGTGCAAGGCAAATGCCCTACTTGCTGTACTATATCGCTTCAGCCCCTCTAGTTTTATCATTTCTTAACACCACCAATGTGGAAGAATCTCCTTGACCCCTGTTCCCACCAATTCTTTCTCATCTCTATCTACTCTGCATCACCCATACTCAATTTCATTCCTTCTACTCCCAATCCTCTGGGAACAATGACAATATAGGCATCTCCCCTTTAAACTATTGCATTGCCTCATCCAGGTAAGATATAATTTTATTGTGTTCCTCTTACCACCTACCCATACAAGAGCCCTGAGATCTCTGCTATTTAAACTTTATTTAAGGAAGAAATAAAAGACACCTTAATAGTATCTTTTATTTGTATGATTATCGTCCAAAAACAATTTTAGAATTTTTTTTTCTGACAGGCTGAAGCGATAGCACAGCAGTAGGGCATTTGCCTTGCACGCAGCCAACATGGCTGACCCGAGTTCAGTTCCTCCGCCCCTCTCGAAGAGCCCGGCAAGCTACCGAGAGTATCTCGCCCGCACGGCAGAGCCTGGCAAGCTACCTGTGACGTACTTGATATGCCAAACACAGTAACAACGAAGTCTCATAATGAAGACGTTACTGGGCCCGCTCGAGAAAATTGATGAACAATGGGAGGATAGTGATAGTGACAGTTTTTTCTGACATGGCAACAACTTGACATTGGTAACCTTATTATTAGTTTTCAGTGTAGAATTAAGATACATACAGAAGTCATTTGACCTTGAAACATTTGACCCTTCCCATTATGTCAGAGTTGGAGGCAGTGCTTATCCAGAACATCTGACTCCAAATTTAGTGCTTTTCTCAGAATCTCCTTGAAAAGCAATGAAATCATTTTCTTTTTTTATTTCAATGCCCACACACACAAAATAAAATTATAACCACAGTCAGGGAGATAACATAAAGGTGTGGAACATAGCTCTAGAGTGCTGGAGGCCCTGAGTTTGATCCCTGGAAATCCATCCATGCTCTAAGTTCCACATCACACCCAACCACCAAGTACTCTTGGCCCCTGTCATTGCTGATAATATAAGTGATGGTCTCAGACCCCCAAGCACCCCTGTTAAATGCCCTATTAAAACATCTGTATAATAAAATCAAGAGCCTTTTCATAGGAATGTTAAAAAATAGAAACAATTAGGAAGGTGAAAAATATGTTTCTAAAAGTTAAAGATAGCTTACTTTTACCATTCTAAATTTAAATCACTCCTTCAAATGCATTAGAAAATTTCTGTAAACATAATATTCTGTAAATATTTTGTGGTAAAAGCAATGAAAAAATAAATGACTAGTTTAGCCATTGGATAACTTTGTTCTTAGCATCATTTGTATAAAAAATAAAATCATTTCTACATGTTCTAGGAAACACAGGAAGACTGACAAAATAATGAAAGAAGTCAAGTATTTAAGAAAACCAATAATTTTAAAAAATAGTTTGCTCTAATGCAGATGACTGTGGCCCTCAAACCAAAACCAAACCAAAAAATAGTTTACTGTAAAGTCCCAAAGTAATCTCATTTTTAGCTTTGCATTCAGCCAATAAGGGTTTGATCCCCGGTACCCTAAATTGTCCCCCAATCCCAGCATGAGTGATCACTGAGTACAGAGACAGAAGTAGCCCAAATACCAAAAAAATCAACAGCAAATTTCTTTTTCATGATGAGCCCAAAGAATGCTGAAATATCTCAATAATTTAAGCTTCTCACCCTTCCACTCTGATCGAGCACTGTTCTCCTCTACTATAACTCTTCTTGCAAGATACAATAGAGCCTTAGGCAGTCAAAAACAGTTATTTTGTTATAGTTCTTTATATCCTTATGAAGTTGTATTAAAATTTATTTCAGCTACTAATCTTACACATTGATAAGACTTTTTAACCTAATAATGGCAAAGAATGGTATAGCTTTAATTTGCATTATCACTACAAAATACAGTGATAAGAAAAAAATTTAACTACAAAAAAATGAATTAAAGATGATTTTATAGTTATAAGGTATAAAAATATGCAAAATATGAAGCAAACCCAACACACTTAAAAGTTGTTGCATTTTCTACATATTTTATGTTTAATGTCATTCTTTTCATTGACTGATATTAATTTAACAAGCTTACTCCATTCTTTACTGAACTCTCATTGCTAGTGTTCTGATTAAATCCTCTATTCCAGGCTGGAGAGAAAATACACCAGATAAGCACCCCACCCTCCCGCCTGCACCCCAAATAGTCTCCCAAACACTGCCAGAAGTGATCTCTGAATACAGGGCCACCAGGTTGCAATCCCTGAGCACCACTGGGTATGCATCTCTCCAAATACTTCCATTGCATTTTTCTTTAAAAGAAGAGGTATGGGAGAGAGGTAACACTCTCTCCACCTTTCGAAGTACTACATCTGACCTGGCAAAGTTATTAAAGTCAATTTTTTCAGTTGTCATATGCTTATAAAATATTATGTTATATTGTGCCCAAAACCTAAGCTAATGGGTCAGACTCCAGCAAGCCTAGAATTGACACGCCCTGATGCATCAGTATGTTTATGGGGTAGCTTGAATTCCACTATCAGAAAGAATTGCAATAGATTTCAAAGTGATCTTACCACCTCTACTGACACATCTCTCAACATTTCCACCCTTTGCTACATATGAAGGAAATCATCCACATACATCAATATATTCTTATGTGTCTCCCAAAGTATATAAGAATAGGAGGCTTCAAGTCAAGTATTCTCAGATACCTTTGCTGTGCCATTTGAAAGAAGAAAATCGGGAATACCTTTTAAAATATAAACATATTTTAATATAGCACTGCAGCACTGTCCTCCCATTGTTCATCGATTTGCTTGAGCGAGCACCAGTTACATTTCCATTGTGAGACTTATTGTTACAGTTTTTGGCATATCGAATATGCCATGGGAGCTTGCCAGGCTCTGCCGTGCGGGCAGGATACTCTTGCTAGCTTGCCGGGTTCTCTGAGAGAGAGGCAGGAATAGAACCCGGGTCAGCTGTGTGCAAGGCAAATGCCCTACCCGCCGTGCTATTTAAGTTTAGTATGATTTATTTGTAGTTCTGGCGAGGACACATCCCATTGCATAATCATTACCATGCTTTAAAAACATGAGTATGCCTTGCATCCTAATGTTGTACCAAAGACAGGGTAAAATGAGGGTGGGTTTTTTTTCCAGTTTTTTTTTTATTTAGGCACCATCATTTGCAATATAATTAATAATAGAGTTTGAGGCATGCAGAGTTCCAGCACAACACTTACCACCAGAGTAAAAACATCCCCCACCAATGTATAAAAGCCCCAATCCATGTCCTACTCTTCAGCCTCCACCTTTTAGGTGAACTAGATATGTCAACCAGCTCCCAGCATCTGTTGCCATTGTCTGACTGTTATCTCTTACTATGGTTCTTTGTTTTCTGCATATGAGAGACATCATTCAGATCTGTACCTATCTCTTGGAGGAGAGTTTGGGGTGGGGGTGGAAATGCATGAATTTTAAATCATGCTGTTATAATTTAGAGTTTCATATAATGGCTGCATCCAAATTTGTGCCCCCAAATTAGCTGGAGCGATAGCACAGCGGGTAGGGCGTTCGCCTTACAAGCAGCCAACATGGCTGACCCGAGTTCGATTCCTCCGCCCCTCTCCGAGAGCCCGGCAAGCTACTGAGAGTATTCGATATGCCAGACACAGTAACAACAAAGTCTCCAATGGAGACGTTACTGGGCCCGCTCGAGCAATAATACAATTCACAAAAATCATGTGGTAAAACATGGATAACTATAATAGAAACATTCCCACTCGAGTATCAGAACACAGTGTAAATATACAATTTTGTACAAATTTTGTATGAAATTTTATGTACCATTGGTCAGAGTTTTGGGGGAGACACTTTGTAATAGGCTGAAACTTATTTTTGTCTTCCTATGAGTGATGACAATGCTCAGATTCATTTTTCACTTTACTCTAGGGTTATATCTAGAGCATTACCTGTCACATCGAGTTCTCTATAGTTAATGAATACATTTGCATATAGAACGATGTTTAAATACCTTTCAAAGGAAATTTTCTAATCTTTTTCTTCCTCCACCTTTAATTCCTTTTGGTTTACCTCCAAGGTTATTAAGAATTAGCTCCATTAGGGGCCTGCAATGATGTGCATCGCCAGGTGTGACCCAAAAAGCAAAAATAAATAAATAAATAAATAAATAAGCTCCTTTCTTCTATACTGATGGACACTTAGAATCTCAAAGATGAAATAGACTTATATTTGGTTCAGTATTCATCTATTCTGTGTTTACTTTAGTTTTTCAACGTCAGTAATTAAATCCTAAGTCTCACATATGTGAAGGTTTTTTTATTTTTATTCTTTTTTACCATTAGGCCACACCTCAGGCCTTTCTATGTAGTTGTCACATTCCCAGTTTCTGCTTTTTTGTGTTTGGTTTTGCTCTGGGGCCACACCGGGAGGTGATTAGGGCTTACTCCTGGCTCTGCACTTAGGGATCGTTCCTGGCAGGCTTGAGGGAACATATGGAGTAACTGGGATTGAGCAGGGTTTGGCCACATGCAAGACAAGCTCTCTACCCTCGTTGCTTTAGCCCATCTAGTTTTTCTCTTCAACCACCAATGAGAGAAATGTCCTAAATAGCAGTGTACCAAACTTTCAAAGTTTTTCTTTTAAATTTTCCTCATTCCCCATAAAATAAGAAATCAAATAAGTTTCCTCATTCCCCATGTCTTGTTTCTAGTTGTACATCAATGTTTTAAAGTAAATTGAAATTAGATTTCAGATATATATTTTAAAGCAATTAATCAACTCAGTACATATGTATCAATATTTTTAAAAGCATATGATTGATAGTTGTATCTATGTATAAACATTAAATACAGTAAGTAGTATTAAAATTCACAATCTTTAGAGTGAAAGTAGAAAAGAAATAAGGAGTGGAAAGAGGAAAAGTGGGGGAAGGAGAAAGTGAGTAGGAGAGAAGAAATAGTAACTTGAACTTATTTGAAAACTACATAATTCTACTAGTTCTCATTCTCATTAGTATTTTATCTTGGATATGCTAAATATTTAGTTTTAGAATCATTGAAATACAGATTTTGTTGGATAGTTCTGCAGTTATTTTTGGCAAGAATTAAATAAAGCCAAACAATACACAAATGTTCTTCTAACCTCTAGATAAATGTCTTAAAATGATACACTTGCAAATTTTGGTATGTTTCATTCATTTATCAAAATCTTAGTTCATACTGCATACCTCAAATAGGTTGATAAACTGCAATACATGTCTCTTTAAGTATTCAGGTCTTGAATGTTATATAGTCTATCTGTCATCAGTTTTCATATGGCACTGTCTGTGACAGCTACAAGAACATGTCTGAAAGGCATCCTAACCCTCATCTATATCTCCTTCCCTCCTCTCTATCTTTTCCTTTTTTTCTGTTTTCTTTATAAATTGGAGGTTGCAATGTTTGAAAACCCATGGTTCATCATTTTGTTAAATTATTTTTAACAGTGCTCATATAGATGCAAATTTAGTGTTGTCTCTCTTTCCTTTTCTTCCTTTACCTAGTCCTTTACTTACTTTATCAGAGTTGTTTTGCTAATTATCTACTCATAAACTTTACAGTAAAGTACCCAGGAGAGTGCTTAGCAAATATCACATATTCTGTTTCAGTGACCTCATGGTATATTCATCTCTTCCTTGACATTACTTAAAAAGGCAGTAATTATACTATGAATTATTGTGCCTGTGTCAAAGAAAAGAACAGCAAATTTTGAGACGATTTCATTACATCTAATCCTAAGCCAAAGATTTAAATTCCCTGAAATTGAAATAACTCAAAAATTCCTTCACATCTTAAGCAGGTCTTTTCTGCTTCCTTGCATATATTTAGCAAATTGCTAGTTTATAATATGAACTCTTATGATGAATATATACTTCAGTTTTTCTAGTTGTTTTCATTTTAAGATTTTTTAAAATTTGAATTGCATTTTTTAAATTACAATTTTAAAAAATGCATTTGTTATGGATGCAGTAGTACATTGAGACAGCTGCTATTTTTGTGTGAACAACATATATCTTGGAGTTGTGGATATGGCTTAAAGAGTTTGAATATATATATATATATATATATATATATATATGTAGGAAGTGCTGAGTTGATTCCTGGTAGCACATCACATCACATCATATCCCAAGCACTGAAAGCTCTGAGCACTTCCGGGGTGGCCAGGCAGGTACGAGGCCATTAGGCTTGAGCAACACAGCATTGTCAACCCACACACCAAATCTTCAAGGCCACACTGCTAGGCTCTGTGTTGCCCTGTGTGACCAGAGTGGCCCCCAACCTCCCAAGAACTGCTGGGAAAAGACCAGAAAGTATTAAAAGTAAACAATTAAAATACATCATTGCTGAGCAATTGAATATTCTTTGAATGTTTTGGTGTTATGACTTCTGCAATCTTTCTCTGGCATTCTGGTCTTTGACACAGTATACAGTTATTTTATATGATTAATTTATAGTGATCCTTAGATATTAAATATACCACACTATCGATAACACAGTGGGTAGGGTGTTTGCCTGACATATGGCCAAGCCTGGTTCGATTCCTCCGCCCCTCTCGGAAAGCACAGCAAGCTACCAAGAGTATTCTGCCTGTATGGCAAAGCCTGGCAAGCTCCCCATGGAGTATTCAATATACACAGTAACAAACACAGTAACAAGTCTCACAATGGTAACTGGTGCCCTCTTGAACAAATTGATGAACAACAGGAGGACAGTGCTATAGTGCTATTCAATTTTTTGCTTTTCTCCTAAAAGTCATAAATTCTACTCATAAAAGACATTTACGGACTATAGGAAGATAATTATATTTTTTATGATGGCTAAGAAAAAATGCCATGTTATATTTCTATCATGAATGGTAGTGATATTGTGATAGTGATTTTTTTATTAATTTTTATTAGTGAAACACCATGAGGTACAGTTGTAGACTTATGAATTTTTGTGCTTGGGTTTCAATTATACAATGATCAAATACCCATACCTCCACCAGTGCCCATTCTCCACCACCATGGATCCCAGTATCCCTCCTCCCCATCTCCCCCCCACCATCCCACCCTGCCTCTGTGGCAGGGCATTCCCTTTTGTTCTCTCTCTCCTTTTCGGTGTTGTGGTCCGCAAAAGAGGCATTGAGTGGCAATCATGTTCGGTCCATAGTCTACTTTCAACATGCATCTCCCATCCTGGGAGGATCCTCCAAACATCCTTTATTTGGTGCTCCCTTCTCTATTTGAGCTGCCCTTTCTGCTAGAAAGCCCAGCTAGCCTCCAAGCCATGGAGCAAAACTCCAGATACTAATCTCAGTCACTCTTGGGTGTTCATCTCCTATTTTGTTACTTTATGTCCCCCAGATGAATGCAATCTTTCTATGTCTATCCCTCTCTTTCTGACTCATTTTGATTAACATGATACTTTCCATGTAGTACCACTTGTATGTAAATTTCATGACTTCATCTTTTCTAACAGCTACATAGTACTCCATTGTGTAGGTGTACCAAAGTTTCTTTAACCAGTCATCTCTTCTCGGGAACTCGGTTTTTTTTTTTTTTTTCAGATTCTGGCTATTGTACACAGTGCTCTAATGAACAAAGAAGTGCATTCGACTCTTCGACTATACTTTTTTGACTCTCTGGGATATATTCCCAGGAGTAGTATTGCTGGGTCAAATGGAAGCTCAATTTCTAATTTTTTGAGCATCGTCCATACTGTTTTCCAAAAGGGCTGAACCAGCCGGCATTCCCACCAACAGTGAAGGAGTGTCCCTTTCTCGCCACATCTGCGCCAGCATTGGTTGCTTTTGTTCTTTTGGATATGGGCCAGTCTCTGAGGTGTGAGATAGTATCTCATTGTGGTTTTGATCTGCATCTCCCTGATGATTAATGAGGTAGAGCATTTTCTCATGTGCTTTTTTGCCATTCGGATTTCTTCTTTGAGAAAGTTTCTGTTCATTTCATTGCCCCATTTTTTATGGGGTTGGATGTTTTCTTCTTCTGGATTTCAACCAGTACTTTATATATCCTTGATATCAACCTCTTGTCAGATGTGTATTTGGCGAATATCCTTTCCCATTCTGTAGACTGTCTTTGTATTTTGGTCACTGTTTCTTTTGAGGTGCAGAAGCTTCTTAGTTTAAGATAGTCCCATTTATCTATCTCTGTTTTCACTTGCTCGGCCAGTGGCGTGACATCTTTGAAGATACCATTAGCTTCAATGTCATGGAGGGTTTTGCCAACTTTATCTTCAGTGTACCTTATGGATTCCGGTCTGATGTTGAGGTCTTTAATCCATTTTGATCTTACTTTTGTACATGGTGTTAGGCAGAGTTCTGAGCCCATTTTTTTTTTGCATGCAGCTATACAGTTTTGCCAGAACAGTTTGTTAAAGAGGCTTACCTTACTCCACTTCACATTTCTTGCTTCTTTTTGATGGTGATATTTAATATTGCTTTAGAAAGTAACTTTTTCCAATGAAAATTCTAGAAATGCAATGGAATTTTCCATGACTGTTATCAAACATTTCAGTGACACACCTCAAAGCAGGACATGCTATTATGGATATTTATATTTCAACAGAAACTGGAATCATATTCTCCCTTTCTATTAAACTAATCTTTTCCTTAACCAAGTCTTGAAATACGTTGTTTTTGCTTTCTATTTCAGTGAGCCCAACCAACCTGTCTCAATTTAACCTTCCTGGGCCCAGCATGATGCGCTCCAACAGCATCCCTGCCCAAGACTCTTCCTTTGATCTGTATGATGACTCACAACTTTGTGGGAGTGCCACATCTCTGGAAGAAAGACCACGTGCCATCAGTCACTCGGGCTCATTCAGAGACAGCATGGAAGAAGGTACGCCTGGTTATAGTTGTGGGGGAACTTCTTTATATGACTCTAAAATGGAAGCTATAATGTCATTTCACCACAAGAATTCCTTCGAGTAAATGAATGAGTAAGAAGAACTCTCATTTGAGAAGCCCTGAAGCTAAAATGAGTTTGTTTTCTTATTTTGTAAATCTGTATAACCTTCTGTTTCATTATGCATTTTGACAGTATGCCAGAATTTATTTAGATTAATACTTAGTGTATTATATTCAGAATAAATCCAATGTTCTTACATAGAAATTCATGTAATTTTAAAGACTGTCTACCCTGGAATCAAAGCAGATGTTTTGTTTGGCACCTCAGAGTTATAGAAATAGAGAAAGCAGGAAAAAAATTCTCACAAAATTACCAGATGCTGCTGGATTTTATTTTCAGATAGTCTATTAGGTTTTATAAACTGTTTTACAATCAATTTTGCTTGAAATATCATATTATTTTTCTTTTTGGAGGACCACACCCAGCTGTACTCAGGGTTTACTCTTGGCTCTGTGCTCAGGGATCACTTCTATCAGTCACAGGGAACTATTTGTTATTATGGGTTGGAACCGGGCATAGCAAGCATTTTATTTGCTGGTTTATTGCTTCAGGCCCCTTTATTATGCTTTTAAAAACATCATGTCCAATTTTCTTGTTACTATACAATTTTATAATTCATATCTTATATATACTATTTGCTCTAGGTTACATTTCTTTTTTAAATTTTTTTTAATGTTTTTATTAGTGAAACACCATGAGGTACAGTTATAGACTTATAAATTTTTGTTCTTGGGTTTCAGTTATACAATTATCAAGTACCCATCCCTCCACCAGTGCCCATCCTCCACCACCACGGGTCCCAGCATCCCTCCCACCCTCCATCCCCCCCGTCCCACCCTGCCTCTGTGGCAGGGCATTCCCCCTTGTTCTTTCTCTCTTTTTTTGGGTACTGTGTTTTTCAAGAGAGGCATTGAGTGGCAATCATGTTTGGTCTATAGACTACTTTTAGCATGCTTCTCCCACCCTGGGAGGGTCCTCACAACACCCTTTATTTGGTGCTCTCTTCTCTATCTGAGCTTCCTTTTCACCTAGCACGTGTGGCTGGCCTCCAAGTCATGGAGCAAAATTCCTGGTACTAATCTCAGCCATTCCTGGGTGTTAGTCTCACGTTTTGTTGCTTTATGTTTCCCAGCATTTCTTTATCTCACATGACCTTAGATAACTTTTCTAGTTGTAAAGTTCTATGGTATTACTTTATAATAAAACTACTTGAAAAACTCAGTAGACCTTCTGATTAAAATGTATACAATTTTCTGAACTCTTCTATCTCACCTTTCAGATTTGACTAATGTTTGAGAGTTTCTTCTTTGATTTATCAAAGTATTTTCGAGTATCCCTATAAGAAGACTGTGACACAATATATAAACCACATCATTTTGGGGTAAACATAAGTAAGCATAGAAGTACAGACTATATATTACAATCAGACATCAAGTTAGATATATCACCCCAGTCCTTAGTTATTACATATAAATTAGAGGATTCTATATCTTGAAAAATACTGGTGTCTAAGCTTCTGGTAATCAATTTATTTATGGTATGAATATGAATTTAGATAAGTTTCCCAATTTTACTTGTCTTAATCTTTGCACCTGTAATTTCCCCAGTTTGTTTTATGTGAATGAAATTATAGATTTATTTTCTCCTCTTTCCTATTTCTAAGTATTTATTTAAAGTATCTTCTTACTGAAAATTTAGGCAGCAGGAAAAAATTGACTCATGGTTTTCAGATCACTACTGTGCATTTAATATGTTGGCACCAAATTAGTTGACCACAGTTGTCACTGCCTTTAGGGAAATTAACCAAATCACTGAGTTCACCATGACAGAGAGTGAATTAGACCCTATGAGCCTGCTGATTGCAGCAATGTAGACAGACAAAATAGAACTAATCTGAAATGTAAATTCAGTGCTTTTCTGAGATGGCTCCATCACTCTCTTCACAGAGGGGAATCTCATGATACTGTAAAAATAATTTGCTAAGCATCCTCATGACTTACTAGAGTGCCTCATTTACAAAGAGAATGCTGTTGATAAGCTCGGAAGTTTTGACCTTCTCCATGAGGATTAAATAAGGTGAACTGCTGAAAACCAGTCTGAGTGAGATGCTTTTGTGAAAGTCATGCATTGAATACTGAATAATTGTAATTCTTGATTTTTGGTCTGGAATTAAATAACATTCGCCTAGAGAGATATAACAAACTTGGTTCTCTGATGCTTGTGAGGCTGAGAAGTCTGAGATAAAAACTATCAGGTGATTGATCTATACATGGGAAAACTGAAAAATGGCATCTTCTGATTCACTGTTCAACTTTCCTCTAGTACATCATTCCAAGACTCTTACTTCCATAGGAACGTTATTAGTGGTTTAAAGAATATGCTTGTTTGTTTTTTTGTTTTTTCTTTTGAGGCCACACCTGGCTGTGCCCAGACCTTACTTCTGGCTCTCTGCTCAGGTATCACTCCTGGCAGGCTAGGGGGACTATATAGAGTGCCGGAGATTGAACCCGGGTTGACTCTGGACAAGGCAACAAGTATCTGCTATACTACTGCTACAGCCTAGAAGGAATGAGCTCACCCTTTGTTCATCTTTTGCCCCACATCTTTATTTTATTACTTAGTCTTCCTTTCTATGTTGTTTTGTTGTCTGAGAATCATACACTTGGTTCCACTGTTCTATGTCCTTATATTCAGCCAATTTTAAAGAGGTTCTTCCTGGTGTCACTAAAATCCATTTCTTTGTTTCATCTATACTGCCAAGATTCTACTCAGTGTAATTAGTCTTCTCCAGACAAGGAGTAGCATTTTTTTATAACTCAGAGTTATAAAAATGTATGCATATATATGTATATATATATATACATGCATCTGCACATTTGTCTGGGAATTCCTATGATTTTATCATTTTTTATGTAGGAATATTGCTGTTTATTCAGCCATTGATTAGGCTGATTGAATTGAGATAAAGTCCACCTTACTTTTTTTTTCTTTTTTATAATTTTATTTATTGAATCACTGTGAGAGCAGTTACAAAGCTCTCGGGTTTAAATCTCGGTCATACAATGAAACACTCATCCCTTCACCAGTGCCCATTTTCCACCACCAAAAACCCCAGTATGCCCCCCATCCCACACCCTCCAGCTACCTGTGGGGCAGATGATTTCCATGTTACTCTCTCTCTATTTTGATTACATTCAATATTTTGACACCAGACCCACCATTATTACCCCAACACTCAGATCTGCTGAAAAGTCAATAGTAGACAATTTTTTTTATTGCTGGTTATGAATAACATATGATATCATGCAGCCACAGTATGACTGCAAGATTTTGGAATTCCAAAGTTTTAAAAATTAAATATGGAGGGATTTGTGCCAAAACCTGCTGGATTCTGAGATTTGTTCCTGAGTCTCTGGGATCATGACTTGATCAGGAGCCAGACAGGCCGTCCGTGGGTGGTGACTCAGGGTCTCGTTGGGGCGGGGACAAAAGGGCCGGCTCCACCCCCATCCCGTGAGCGCCTCCCCCCCCCCCCCCCGTGAGGCCCCATGTGTCTTGTCACTGTGGGCCCAAACCTGACTGTCCAATGGCCTCTGGAGGATTGGGGCCACTGAGGCACAAAGCGGGAGCAGGCAAAGGGACAGCACCCTTTCCCCCCGAGGTGGCCCAGTGACAGTAACCCACTGCGTGGTCCAGACACATTTCTGCCAAAAGCCACTGGGTTTCAAGATTTGTTCCTGAGTCTCTGGGATCATGGCCATTAAGCAGCTTGATCAGGATCCAGGCAGGCCATTCGTGGGCGGTGACTTGGGGTCTCGTTGGGGCAGGGAGGAAGGGGCTAGCTAGACCTGCATCCTGTGAGGTCCCGCGTGTCTTGTCACTGTGGGTCTAACTCCTATTGTTCAATGACCTCTGGAGGTTGGCGGCCATTTTTTTTTTAAAACCTGGGAGATAGCAAGTTCCTAACACATTGGACATATTTCTCTATTGTTTATTTAAGGATAAATAAGCAGAAATTACTTCATACTATCACATACTATCACACAGTGAATATTTTAATAAATAGTTACTAAGCATAATTTTATTCATTTTTTTTGCCTTAAGGGCCACGGGGGGGATGCTTTTCATAGTTTTGACTTAGGACATAGTTTTGACTGGTCTGGGAAGACATTTTAAAATAATTTATTGTTTAATGATACTCCTAGATAAAAAGCAGTATTTTTTGTCCTAATTTTAGTGAGATGCCACCTTAAGATAAATATTTTTTCTATTACTAAAACTACTAAAATTTAATATTTCTATATTTTATAAAGCATAGTCAACAACTCATGGATAGTGTTGACATAACAAGTTATATAAAATGATTATTTTCATTAAAATCTGGGGAGAAAAACTGAAAAAGGATGGCAGTCATATGAAAAATCAATTATGATTTTTTAAGCTCAAAAGTTCATGGCAACATTGGCTTCATGATTTTCTGATCACTTATTTTGTGGGGGCTTACCATAGATTTCCAGATGTCCCCTGCACACTTGAAGGCCTTGTACCTGCCAGCTGCTCTCATGGTAAAGGTTGTTCCCTGTGGGACGAGAGTGGCACCATACCATGTCCATCATTTGGATCTTCAGAAATGACAGCAGAGTTATTCTCAGTTTGTGATATCTTGTTATTATTTTATTTCTGTAACATTCTAATTCTACTTTCCAGTAAAGATTGACGTTTCTTTGTAACCTTCCTTATTTTATATCTTATTCTTTTCTGCCTTTTCTAGTTCATGGCTCTTCATTATCTCTGGTCTCCAGCACATCTTCTCTTTACTCCACAGTAAGTATTGGTTGGTAAGAACCAAATTCTGCCTCTGCCAAGAATTCAAATGATAAAATAGATTTACACAAAAGGTATACTGTGCAATAGAGAATGTTCTAAATTAATGCGTGTTAATACACTGGAAGTTTTCTACCAGTTTTTCTGTGACCCATTTAGGTGTGTTTCCTTTTAACTTTTCTGTACTCATTATAATCATGAGTAGATGAAAAGCTGAGTATCATAAAGTCTTTGGGGCATGATCAGAATTCCTGAATCTATTTATTATGTGCTACCATAATTTTATCACATTGACTTGCTTCTCTGAGCCGTCAATAGTATTGGTTCTGTGCTATTTTTTCCATTTTATTTTTAATTTTTTAAGTTTAGTTTTGGGGAACATAGTACAGAGGCCTAGAGACTTTTAAAAATATATCATCTGAAACAAAATGTGATTTTGAAGACTTTATTCCTTAAGAGAGTTATAGAAATGTGTGAAATTATATTTTGTTTTTGCCAAGATGAATTTTTTCCTTCTACACTGCATATTTTCATCTTCTTCAAAAAAGTGAGTCTATAGGAAAGTATATTTTCCACGAGACTTCCTTCATGCCTGGGTAAAAATTAGATATATTTGACTTTAAAAAATCTAACTAACAGTTGAATACTATGGATAATCCTGAATTCTGTATTGAGAAGTTTGTGGGAAGTTCATAGCCTCGGTTGTCACTGGGTAATTAAGCATTAAGGGCAGTACTAATTTCTTCACTCATTTCCATGATGTTCAAATGTAATGCTCCTCATTCATTTTGGATATGTCTACTTCCATATTCATTGCTTTCAACAATTACTTAAAATCAGACAATTATTGATAAAGAATGTTTCTATTTCCTTCAATAATTAAAGTTCCCAATATTTTCAGTAAATGAACACATTATTATTAGTCCTACTGCTCTAGTGCTCCCGCCTGTGAAGGAAATAGGGATAATCTCATCTGACATCAAATGATACAGTATCATAAAATTATACTTCAGGGCCAGAACTAGACCATAGAGTGTAGGGCACTTTCCCTTCATGTGGCTGACTTGGCACCTCATATATTGTCTGAGCCCTGCCAGAAGTGGTCTCTGAGCACAGAGCCAGGAGTAAGTCTTGAACACAGCCAGATGTGCCTCCTTCCCTCTAAATAAAATAAAATAAAATTATAGTTCTGATATTTACAAAGTATTTTTGGAACAAAAAAATATCATCTTCGTGAATTCTGATAAAGGGTCAGAAAGAAAAAGAACTTGGTAGCTACTGAATATATACTAAAATCAAATAGACCTTTTTGTGATAATAAAAATAAGAGAACAGTTATCCACATGCAGTTATTGAGCATTTGAAGTCTCTCTGATGTGGCAGAGGGACCGAATTTTTCAGTTTAAATAATTTAACTATAAAAAAGCACACAAGCCTAGGGGCTGTTACAAGTTTATAGGGAGCAAATGGGTAATTGGAAGATTTGTAGATAACTAGATATTAAAAAAGAAGAACAACTTGAAAGCATAAATGAGAGGTATTATATTAGTAATACAATATGAAATTCTTATGAAATGGAATGAAAAAATAAAGACTAGATGCACAACTTATATGTCAACATTTTGAAATGAAATAAGCCCAGGTGTTAAGTACAAGAAAAACAGTTTAGATGCTTAACCCACATGAGAAGTTGATATTATTAGGAGGTTATGAAATCAGAAATTTAAATATTTGCTTTAGAAGGAGTGTAAACTACATATGTGAACAGAAAAAAATCTGTACTAATATTAGATATATGTGAATTTGGAGTAAAAGTAAAGAGAAAAGGTAAAAATGGGAATCGTTAGTCCTGGTGTCATGAACTGAGATTTAATTGCCAAAAAAAATAATGTCAGTCAGAATGCTTTTCAAGCCATGAAGTGAAAATAAGCCATTTATCATTATTTTTCATGCCTCCTGGCTAAAGATTCATTTGCAGTTGATTTGCATTCATACCTGACTATATTATCATTGTGTGTTGTCAGGCAAGACACTAAATGTCTTTGGACCATACGGCAAAATAAATTGGCAAAAACAGCCAAGTCTATCCCCTCTGCCAATGGCTTTTCTGCAATTTTTAGATTATTGTAAGAATGTTGTATACTACAAATTGCCCCCCAGTTATAAACCTTGTCGGGAGCACCATTTTGATCATATTCTAAGGGAACTTCTTGAAGTAATGTTTTACAAAAGTCAGACAGCATGGTGCACTTTCACAAAATAAAATATTTAGGGAAGAAAAAATGTTTTTTAGGGGAAACAGAATTTGTCCCTACTTAACTCTTATTAACCAAAATAGTTCTCTAATACCTAAAATAAACTATATTATTTTTATTAAATACATTATATTTGGATTAAAATTATTTAAATAAGATAACCAGATGGCTTGATGTACAGAATAATAAGGTTTGAAAATCACCAGCGTAAAATATCCCATTGGAAGGGCTTTTCTTCATCCTGTAGCTCTCTTTTTGTTGTTGTTGCTTTTTGGATCACACCCAGTGATGCACGGGGTTTACTCCTGGCTTTTCACTCAGGAATTACTCCTGGTGGTGCTCAGGGGACCATATGGGATGCTGGAAGTCGAACCTGGGTCAGCTGCTTGCAAGGCAAACGCCTTACCCGCTGTGATATCACTCCAGCCCCCATACTGTAGCTCTTTTTAAAAATCTTTGTCACTACAGTGGGCACATTTTCCAAAAGTCTTGTTACAAAGTTGAGCATATCACTAGGAAATACCAACTTTTTAAGCTGGAAGAGGCAGGCAGGTTTGCAAATTAATTGACATTCACAGGCTCCGTCTGATTTGCCAGGTCACTCCATTCAGTAATTAGACTTTATAGGTGTCATCTTGAAATCTAAGCCAACATGAACTTGAGAGTTTTTACATAAATATTAATTTCTCTAAGCTCCCTTTTAAAGTGCCTGTAAAGAAGTTGCAGTTTCTAGTCACACTGAGATGATGTTTTACAGTCACTCTTAGACTTTGCCATATGATCTTGGACAAATCCCAGTTTCTGTCTCTTATCTTCACACCAAACCAGGGTTTGGATTGTTATTTTCTGTGCCAGATTATTTCTCATGAGAAAGATAAGTATACTTAAAATCCATATACTTAAGAAAAGTTAAAAAGATAGTTTAGGAAGACTGTTTTTCCCCCCCTAAATATCTAGTACTTTTCTTTTTGTATGTTGAACCCTCTTCAGCATTAAAATTTTGGTCCTTAAAACAGATTTGTTTTATTGACCGATGTTAACAATTTTATTATAAATGCTTTGTACTTGGGATCTGATTAGTATTTGTCTCATCAAAGAAAGGGCCATGCTCATTGTAAAACACATTCCCTAATACATTACTAATACAAAATGCAATTTTGGGTTAGGAAGTTTCAAAGGACAAATTAGACAAGCATCTGTTGTATTTCCCTCTTCCAATTTTCTTACAGTTTTTTTTTTTTTCAGTGGTCAAAGGGGACAATGCTGGAACACTTGGCTATATTGATCAGGGTGCTTTCAGGCTTTGCTTCCAGTATTTAGGAAATGTTTTTTTGAATAGTTAGTGGGACTTTTGGATTGCTGCAAAACCCATTTGTATATGGCAGTTAATTATAATATTTTTCATTCCTTTCCTTGTTGATGAATAAAATCTCATACAAATGTTCTGGCTCACAGTTTCAACCTTATCTACCTAGTATTAATAACCACAGGACATGAAAGAAGGTAAAGATGAAAGAAAAAGTTAAGAAAAATTAGCAAAGTAAAAAAAAGTATAATTAGCAATGGAAAGGCTTTCTAAATAGTATATATGTAATTAATATGTCATCATTACAATTTTAATGTATATGTGATATCCAGGTCCTTTTAAGTGGAAAAGATGTAATGAATGTCCTGACTATTTTAATTCTAATATATTATTAAAATATATGAAAAATGAAGCCAGAGAAGGATGTACCCTCCTGTTAAGGGACTTATCCAGTTGACCCTGGTTTGGACCCAGCACCACATATTTTTCCCCAAGAACCGCTAAGAGTTATCCCTAAGCAGAGCCTGGAGCATTTCCTAAGCACTTCTGGGTGCGACCCAATTTCCTCCATCTCAAAAAATATATATATATGTAAAAATTATTTATAGAATATCAGTTTTATATAATCTTAGAAAACTTAACAGCAAGGTTTAAGCAGAATGAACTGGCAAGACATATGCAAAGTAAGTTAAATGGAAGTCACAGTTAATTGTGCCATATGTCTTAAGGCATACAACTCCAGGTTTCTTTTGATGTTTTTGTAATTTCTTTCTTAAAGTTCTTCCCTACTTTGATTTAAATTAAAGTTTATATTCAGGTTTTAAGTCATTAGAACTTAAAAAATCTTCACATATAAAGCAAAAATGTGTGATATATAAAGTATGCATATTTCATTTTTGAATTTCTTTCTTAAAGTTTTTCTAATAAAAAGTATTAGAATTCTATTTGCCATCATTTATTTTAAGATAGAGGGAATACAAGATAGATAAAGCTCAACTTACAAAAGGCGTATGCATGAAACCAACTTTCCTTTGTTTTATTTTATGTATCCTGGAAGAAAATGAATTTTATGTATATTAGTTCAAATATTTTCATGTCATTTTATTAGAAAATGACCTAAAATTAGAGATGGCAGGTAAAAGAATATATTTTACCTTCAAATATGCTTAAGGCTATGAACAAATTTGTACTGTTCAGCAATATTATGTATTTTCCAGCTTTTTCCAGAATGAAGGCACTTTCAAATGTAATGGTTCACATAACTCATTTTATGGCATTTTGCAGCATAGCACATGGATGAAAAATAAAACAGAGCAAGGAGGTTTTCATATTCGTATGAAAATACCAAGAAAGTTCCTATAACAGCATTCATTTCCATATATTATGCAATGAAGTACAAGCCACCTTTATTATCATCTTGATCCTGGGCATTTAGTGCTTTGCTGATTCGAAGTCAAATAATAGGAGATATATATATATATATATATGGAAAAGTAAAATAAATATTGACTACTTGATAATTTGGTAGGGTGATGGAACTAGTATGTGGTAGTGGGTGAAACATAAAGGAAGAAAGAAAAAAAGAAAGGAAGAAAAGAAGGAAGAAATGCCTTCCTATAAATTCATGGTGTTCTTTTCCTACAATATGTGTGAGATAAATCCAGTTTAAATATTTTTTTGTTTTGCCCTTTTCAAAGTATATATAACTTTTGGCATATCGAATACTCTCCAGACACAGTAACAACAAAGTCTCCAATGGAGACGTTACTGGGCCCGCTCGAGCAAATCGATGATCAACGGGAGGGCTAGAGAGACAAATATAACTTTTGATTTTAGTGGTTTGGATCTAATATTAACATTGTTTTTCAAAGATTAAGATTATTTTAATTACATTATTTTTTAAAAAAATACTCGTTTTTCAACGAGTTTTTAACCTATGTTTTAAAAGTACTATCTGATTTATGCATAAAGAAGCATTTCTTTCCAGTAAAGTATTTTGGTTTTATTAAATAGTATGCGTTCTACTGTATTCTTATATAAAACCAAAATACTGTTTTAAATAAACAGTAAAATATTATTAATTTATAGCTGTGTAATAACTTTACACCAATCACAATTAAACTCTTTTTTTTCTCTTTTACAGGCTGAAGAAAAGGCTCATTCAGAGGTATAAAATCTTGTAGCGTTTTTTAGAGGTTTAGTTTACATTTATGATGAAATGAGTATTTCTGCCACTAGAGGGCGCTGTGATACAACTACATTGCTCTGTGATGCGACGGTGATGTATGGGAATAGAACTAAGCACTGTGATTTACAAGACAACTAATTGATACATAGTTTTGAGAGTAGTTCCTCTTCAAAGGGAAGAAGGTTTTGGAAGCACTCTCTTCTCACATTCTTGATAAGAGTCTTGGTTCAGTAACTAATAAATTTTCCCAAGCCATAAGCTGACATCCTCTTCCTATTTTATTGTAGTTTCTTTCTGTCATTGCTTGTGAAACTAACACAGACGTTAAATATTTAACATTAGGCAGGAGAACCTAATAATTTTGTTCTAAAACTTTGCTATTTCTAATAGCCACTTTCTGTCTAAAGTTCCCATTTTTCTAATCACATGAATTTCACAAATACACATTTGATTGAAATCATGTACCGTTTAGGTACCAACCTAAAAAGTATTTTTCTTTTCCTTTGTATACAAGAAAAATAGAGCTTTAATTAGGGCCTTTTTTTTTTAAAAAAAAGGATGTGTCCATTATTATTTGACTCATTTATTCAGAGGCCATCAGAGAACAGAGAAAATGCATGACTTTGCAAAACAAAAAAGAACCATTGCCAAATCTCTCTTTCCTCAAAAGTCTTAATTGACTAAGCACAGGCAGGTGTGACCAAAAATGAAAACAAAAATAAAAAACAAACAATAAGGTTTAAAATCTTACTTGCTTGGCATTAAATTTAAGTCTTGGTCTATTAAAAATATAAAATTGTATTCCTTATACCAATTTAATTTTTATAATTGCTAGACCAAAGGATGAATATGATTTTTTAAAAATTTTTATTAGTGAAACACCATGAGGTACAGTTGTAGACTTACAAATTTTTGTGCTTGGGTTTTAGTTATACAATGATCCAGTACCCATCCCTCCACCAGTGCCATTCTCCATCATTTACAGTTTTTTTAAAATTTTTGTTAGTGAAACACCATGAGGTACAAAAACAAACTCTTAAAAAAATGGGCATGAGCAAGCACAAATGATTATAATGGAACTTCTGATATTTACAGATACCACATCTTTTTGCCTTAACAATATTCAACTTTCTCTTTTATCATTATGTTCCTAGCATTGGTGAAGGATGGCTTGAGCCATACCTGCTGGTGCTCAGGGCTTACTCTTGGCTTTGCATCAGGAATTGCTTGCAGTTCCCAGAGAGCCATATGTGGTGCTGGGGGTCCAGCTGGAGTTGACCACATGGAAGGCAAATGCCTGAACCCCTGTGTATTCTCTCTTGCTCCAAGGTCTCGCATTAAAAAAAATTACTTTAGTTTGTTGACTTACATTTTAAAGGAAATATGTTTTGTTTGTTAGTTTAAGAATGACTTTTTGAACTTTCACTAGTTTAAGATGGGGTGTGTTTGGTTAGTAGGCGACCCTGTGACAATGGTGGCAGTAAGTGGACATCCCGGTGAGGCTGTGTTGTTGAAACTTTGTATGCATGAAACTATCATTAGAAGTATTGTAGAGTCACAGCGCTTCAACTTTTTAAAAGAATAAAATGGGTGCTTTAATGTACCCTCAATAAAAACAAAATGAACATTACTGAATGAGCGCTTTAAAAATAACCATGGATTTTCTACATTTTTATACTTTAAAAAGTGCTTAAGCAGTTAATTTTTAAAGGACGTATTTCAAACTCTCACCTTTTCCCATTCACTTGTACATGTTGTAGCACTGTAGTGCTGTCCTCCTGTTGTTCACCAATTTGCTTGAGCAGACACCAGTAACGTCTCTATTATGAGACTTGTTTTTACTGTTTTTGGCATATTGAATACGCTACGGGAGCTTGCCAGGCTCTGCTGTGTGCGCGGGCTACTCTCAGTAGCTTGCTGGGCTCTCTGAGAGGGGGAGGAGGAGTCGAACCCAGGTCGGCCTCTTGCAAGGCAAACACCCTACCCACTGTCTTATGGCTCCCGACCTTTTAAGTATTAACTTACATAAAAAGGAAACTTAAATACTACCATTTTTATTTGGTTAATTTAGAAAGTTGTTTTCAGTGTTACTACTTTCCTCCTACTTTAAAAAGATGGGTAATCTGTAAAGTAGTACTGCTCTAATAGTAATTCCCTAAAAATACATTGTAATAAACATAATGTTAATATTTCTACTCAGTGCTAGTCATTAAATTTCCAACTAGTATAATTATTTTCAATAGCGAATCATTGAATATTGAATTAGAGGACCAAAGTGGTGGGCCGAGGTGCATGCTTTGCATGTGATGAACTCTAGTTCAATCCCTGCAACCATATGTCTGTCCCGGAGTTTCCCTGCACTTCAGAGGTGGCTTAGGCACCCCTAAGTCCGAGCAGCATTGCATTGTTGGGCCTTCTCATTGAAGAGCCAACCTGGTTGGCCAAGAATTGGCCCACTGAGTACCTTCTGGGAGATCCACAAAGAAAATACTGATTATTTTTGTTTTATTTTGGAGGCCATCCCCGGAGGTGCTCAGGGCATTTTTTTTTTTTTTTTTTGGATCTGTGCTCGGGCACTATATAAAGAGGACTACAGAACCTCATCAGACACATGCAAAAAAGCATCCTATCTGCTGCACTATCTCTCTGGACCAAGATTGTAAATATTTTAAGGAACTGAAGTGATAGTACAGGAGGTAGGGAGCTTATCTTACATGACCACGGCCGGCCTGGATTTGATCTCCAGCATCCCATTCGGCCTCTTGATCACTGCCAGGAGTGATCCTTGAGCACAGAGCTAGGAGAAAGCCCTGATCACATCAGGGTGTTTCTCAAAGAATGGCAAAATCATTGTAAAATTATAAAGCAACAAAAACTGATAGAAAAATTGGGGTATATTTTTTGTTTAAAGAAAATCAAGAATTACATATATATATAGTATATTTCATGTTTATATACTATGTGTGCTTTATACATATACTATATACTATGTAGTATAGTTTGTATATTATGTTTGCTATATGTACATATAGAACATATACTATATAGTATATTTCATATTTAAGAAGAAAATATGTTGCTGCTGAATAAAACAAAAAACTGTATCGCCACAAATTTTAAGTAGAAGAGGCAGTAGAGAAAGTAAGCCGAGGGAACTAATCTGCTTTCATTTGCAGATAGGAGCCCCAACTTTGAACACAGGCACTTATCCTTTTGTAAGTGGTATTTGATTGTTGCTCTGCAGCTTGTGTTCGCATTTCTTTTACTTTCAGAAATTGGTTCTGATACAGAGGAGGTATAATGGCATAACTATCGTATTTACTTTCTTGGATTGAATTCTTGGTTTTAAGTAAAAATCTTCTGGTACACTGAATTGATTTTTTTTTAAATTACTTTCAGCAAATCCATAAACTGCGGAGAGAGTTGGTTGCTTCTCAAGAAAAAGTGGCGACGCTCACTTCTCAACTGTCAGCAAATGTATGTCCTTTGATGCTTTTTATATATAAATCATATCCGTTTTATTTATCTTATGCAGTACTTGTGATTGTTTTTGTAACAGGCTTACAAACAATAAGTCCAAAACTTTTCAAGCTTATATCACTGAATAGTGGGATATGTATAAATCTGCCTTCACACTAGGTAATCAAATGTAAACAGAAATTGATCAAGAGTCACAGTAGGAATAGATATACCCCCATCCCTTCCTTCTAGTTTCTTAGACTTGTAAAGCGGTACAATTTAAATCAGACACTTTAGCAGAACAAAAACTGTCACATTTATATCAAAATAGAAAAATCAATGTCAACTTGAATTTCAGTGGCAGTAGGGAATAGTGGGGGTGTATACCCCGAGTTGAGCAATGGGAAAGGAACCTGAGTCTTAAGAGACAGAAAGGGAAACGTGTGTGATGTCAGAGTATGAGTTCTGCTGTGGTGATCGTTGTGGGCAGGGGAGCAGGTGGACCTCAGACAGAGGTCTGGAATGTTAAATGGTTATTCTGCCAGAAAGATAGGTTTATTCCATCTGAAGAGCATTAAAAAACTGTTAATAACCCTAGTTCTTGGAATAACACACATTTTAAATTTTGGGGGTAGTTTAGGGAGTGATGAAAGTTCCTTATAAGCTTACAGACAATCGGTTGACCTCAGTTAGGAATAATTTACATGCCAAAATATCATTTAACTAGGAATAGATGAACATCTTGGAGAGGCATAAAAAATGTTATAAAGTGCTTTTGTCTTGGATTATTATAAACATGAAAACAGAAGTAATGGCAAAAGGACTATTTATTTCCTTCCTATTTTATCATTCTTCACATGTGCTGATCAGGGGATTAATGGTGATTAACTGAATAATATTAACTATAAGATTAAAAGAAAGTGCTCTGATCATCCAATACAGTGTATTGGACAATCATTAAATCTCTACAATGCTAAATAAATTAACTTTGCCCTAAGGTTTAATAGCTCAGCTATACCATTTATGAGGAATATTTTTCTCAAAAGACAACATGGTAATCTTAGAGCAATTTACGTAGCCTAGAATGGCAGAGATGATAAGGATGAAGGCCATTGATTATGTTAACATTTAGAAATATCTTTCTCTGTGCTAGGAGTGCTCCAAGAAATGCAGAAAAATTGAGGAGAGTATGTGGCATAGTGGCTCAGATTAGGAAATAATAGTGTTGGAAAAGAAATGGGAGGGGATAAGAAAGCTCCTGCTACTTTACCATATGTCCCACCACCGTCACTCAATATTATATGATCATTTCTACTGTGGAGTGATGGGTCTGTTCCTTCCCTAGTTTCCAACTGAAGTTTTCTATCTTCCAGAAGAAGCGTACTTTGACAAGAATGAGCAGATACAAGTCCACTGGGCATAGCTTGAATAATGGAGTGTTTTAAGAATAAAAATTACAGTGCTATAGAATTTTGTATTGCAAGTATATAAGCAAGTTGTTTCACTCGGTATGTTTATTTTTAGCATTCAGTCTGAATTGGTTTTCTCTTTCAACTATGAAAAAGTCAAATTAACTTTGGATTGATTAGTTAATGTTTGGGACATACCAGGCTGTGCTCAGTCCTTATTTATGACTTCTCTCAGGGACCATCTGGGATGCTGGAGATTGAATCCATATTGGCTATGTGCAAAGCAAGCACCCTGCATGTTGCACTACTGCTCCAGTCCATTGGATTGACTATATTTCTAATAGGATGTAGTTAAGGGATTCATAAAATAGAGGCACTTTTTGGAGAATTATTTAGGTAACGCTGGAAGATTATTATGTGTAATTATAAATCTTAGAGAAATAGTTTCAAGGCAGCTGTAATTTTCGTACTTTCAGTTCACTGTACAGTAATACAAAACACTCCTGATTCCTGACTGTTTTGTCTAGGGGATGAACTAGTACCATGTGAATGCTAGAATACCTGGGTTGTGCTTATCTGCAATAAGGACTGTTCAATAATAGTCCCTTTGAATTGAGCAGTCAAGATAATTACAGAATTTTTGAACTATTCTCAATGTTGTTTTATTTTCTGTCTTTTATGGGGGTTTATAGTTGGATACTGAAATAACTAATTGCTGCTACAAAACAAAATTTGGGTTTCTGCAGTATTTCTAAGCTATTTCCATTTAAAAAGTAATGCATGATGCACATTATGTTAAAATAGATTTTGAGTGCAGGATAATAGTCATGCTCTGGTAACATACATTCTGAGAAGCTATAAAATGTTACTTCAAAACTTAGGCAGTACTATCAGTGAACTTTGTACCAATTAAAGGAAAGAAAAAGATGGAATAAGAGGCTGAATGAATATTATGGTGGATAAGATATTTACCTTGCATGCAGCTGACCCAGGTTATTCCTATCACTGTATATAGTACCCCAAGAACATCCAGGAGTTATTCTTGAACATAGAACAAGAGTAAGCACTGATAAGTGCCAGGTGAAGCCCCCAAAAGAAAGGTAAAGGAAGGGAAAGAGTAAAGGGAAGGGAAAGGAAACTTATAGTTCTCAATAAACACCTTTTAAAATGTATTTTATAAAATGGCATTACCACTCTTACTCATGTTTGCCTTGCATAATGTTCTTTTATATAGCAGGATCACATACGTTCTGTACACACTAAGAAAGGCTTGGACACGTGTTCAGAACAGAGGAGGAACAAAATTTTCAGATAGGACAACATTTCCTGGAGGACTGCTCTCTGCCATTGTTAGCAAACAGATCAAGCACTTTAAGAGCATGTCAGGGTTTGGGGGGCTGGAGCGATAGCAAAGCGGGTAGGACGTTGCCTTGCTCATGACTGACCCAATTCCAAGCATTCCTGAGGACCTTCAGGGGTAATTCCTGAGTGCAGAGCCAGGAGTGACCCCTGTGCATCGCCAGGTGTGAGACCCGCCCCCCTGCCCAAAAAAAAGAGCATGTCAGGGGTTTGACTTCCTACTATTTCTGTATCTATCATCTCTGCCACACACTGCCGAGGGCATGCATTTGCAACTTTGGAGCATGTATTTTCAGCGTCAGGTTGATAATGACCACCAAAACGTGAAAATTTTGTATTGTTTTTAAAAGCCCATTCTTGTATGCATAAAGCACAGATATATATATATATATATATATATATATATATATATATATGTATAATATATAAGTAAGCATCCAGAATAATTTTGATATTCATCTATCATGGAGAAAGGGGGTGATTTGGGAAAATATGTTTATAATGTCTTCCTAGGTAACAGTAATGAAAATGGAATGAATAAATTAGAGACTGAGGAGATAGCATAGAGGTTAAGGTGCTTGACTTGCATATAACTGACCCCTGGTTTTAATCCTTGGGAGATAGCATAGGGGTTAAGGTGCTTGACTTGCACATAACTGACCCCTGGTTTTAATCCTTGGTACCCCAGCACTATCAGTAGTGATCCGCGAGCACTGCTGCATGTGTCCCTATACAAAAAAAATTTTTTTAAAGTCATAAACAAGTTACCATGCCAAATAATTCATTTTATTTATTAAGTGCTACTCCTGGAGAAAATATTCTAGCTTCTACTCAGTAGGTCTATGTTAGAGTTGAACAGAACTTTTTGCATCCAAAGGGAGGCAAATATATATTTTAATTTTAGTCTTTTTTTACCTTTATTTCCCAAATAAAAGTCTTCTAAAGTCAATTGGATCCAGACAAAACCTGTACATGGAAGCTTTATTTTTCAGTAGTATAAGAATGCATTTTGTATTGGTTTGATTTGTTTCACTGGTGGTGGGTGCACCCCACACTGTGGTTAGGGTTTATTACTGGCTCTGTACTCAATTATCACTTTTGACTGGGTTTGAGAAACCATATGTAGTTCCGGAGATGGAACTAGGTTCTGCTGTATACAAGATAAACTCCCTTCTCTCTGTACCATTTCTCTGTCCTGCAGAAACATTTTGATTTTTAGAGGAAGAGTGGCATTACCAGCTGTGCTCAGGACTTATTTCTGGCTTTGTGTTCAAGGATCACTTTTAATAGTACTGTGGAAACCATATGTGGTACTGGGGATGGAATCTAAGGTTGCTGAATGCAAAGCAAACATTCTGCCTGCTGTATTATATCTCCAGACCTCAGAAACCCCTCTTTGTAACACAAAGAGGATAAGATATTCATACCATGGACTCAGAAATAAATTTTTGATAAACAAAAATTGGATGGCATGCAATTGCACTTTGCTGAGTGAAAAAAGATCAATTTAAAATAACAACATATTGTATAATTTCATTGATTTAACATTCTGGAAATAAAAATAGTATATCACTAGAGAACCATTTGGTGGCCACTTCTCTCTCTGAAATTTAGATGTAACTATAATGTAGTAACTATAATGTAGTTTTTCGACAAACTGGCAGGCTACCAAATGTAACCTGCCCACATGGCAGAGTCTGGCAAACTCCCCGTGGCGTACCCAATATGCCAAATACCAGTAACAATGATGGGTCTCATTCTCCTAACTCTAAAAGAGCCTTGAATATTTTTTTAAAAATTTCAGGGCTAGGACGAAGGAGACGTTACTGGGGCCTGCTCGAGGCAATCGACGAATAATGTAGTAGCAAATGAAGAGAGCTTTATGGAATACTTATGCATCTTGATTTAGTTGGTTATTATACAAGTGAATATATGTATGAGTAGCAATATTGAATTCCTTATAATAATTATTTGATTATTTCAGTTGAACCTCAGGGAAAAACTGGATGAGGGGATATTAGTAATAACCTTTACCATTTATGAAAATTCTATAAACTCATAAATATTTTCAAGAAGCCTATTGTAATAAAAGAGAGATATCTGTTTTTAATATCTTAGAATTTCAACCTATTTCATATTCCTTTTTAAGTGGTATCTAGATTGCTAATGATATTATCCTCAGTTAAATTTATTATTGACAATGTATAAAAGAGAGATAAAGTCAATACATATTTCTCACAGTAGCCAAAA